AGAGAGAGAGAGAGAGAAGGATGACGAACGTACTGGTTTGTCAGGCTCGTTACCACTTGTTAGACAGGAGTCTCACGCATGAATCACGTTTGACTGGAAGTTGACTCGGGCTCAGCGTCTTGCACACGCACGCATGCACGCACGCACGTTCGTCGACGACGAATCTCAACAAACACAAACGGCCGGAGCACGGTTTCGCGCGGCGTCGGCGACGACGACCACCACGACGACGGCGAGGACGAGGACGAGGCAAACGACGACGCGGCAGGACGATGATCATGACTCGTCTCTACCGTCCATAGTACCTCGTCTTGTCTCGGGCACGTCCGCGAGTATTCTCGACGATGACGACGACGACGACGACGACGACGACGACGACGACGACGACGTGGTTGCCAGCTCGACGATGGCTGTTCATCGGACTCGGGGCGATCGACGATGACGACGATGACGACGTTTACTCTCGACGTGACGAATGCTACTGCCTCCTGGCTTACCACTAGTAACGTTACTACTCTCGAAACGTGCGTCGGGCATGAAGCACTGTTTACATGCGAGCACGGGCGCCATGGTCACTGCCGCCTCTATGCTCCTCGTCTCTCTCCACTCCGCGATCACCACCGCGATTTCACATTTCCGCTGTCCTTCGCCTCGACCGCGTACACCACTCGGCAAACTTTCTCATCATCAACTCCGTTCCGACCCTCCTTCATTCATCTTCGCCACATCTCTTTCTCTCCCTCTCTTCTTCGCCCCGTCGTCGTCGTCCAAGCGATCCTCCGCTCTTCTCCGCTACACGCATACACCCATCTCCTCGTCTCGCCGCTACCTATCCCGCTTCTCTGTCGTCGTCTGTATTTTCTCCCTCTATCCCCCGGTGCTCTCCTCTCCTCTCCTCTCCTCTCCTCTCTGTATCGTACCGCTCTCACTCTGTCTCTCTGTTCTCGCTCTCTCTGGGCTCACCCTGACCGTGCTCCCCTCTCTCTCTCTCTCTCTCTCATTCGCTCTCTCTCACTCTCTCTCTCTCTCTCTCTCTGTCTTTCTTCTCACTCACCGTTGTTCACCTCTCGCACTAGCCCGCCCTCTCTGTCGCTCTCTCGCTCTCACGCGGCAAGCTCGAGCGACACGAGTGCTGCTCCCGAGTTGTGCAACGCGTGCCAGAGCTCTCGTTCGACTAAACTCCGATAGAACTAGCGCCACGCCCTCCGCGCAGGTGGCAGCACCCGTCGTCGTCGTCGTCATCTCGCCAACGTATCATCCCTTTCTCACAGGCCCCGTGAGAATACTCTCCGACTATTCTCCTCTACCCTTTAGTCACTACCCACCGGTGGCTCTTCTCTGCTACTCCGCTCTCTTTGTCTTTTCTTCTTTTTCTTACTTCCTGCCTATTTACTTACGTGCCCGGTCCGCACCCCGTCCCTACCTTACCCATCCCTCTTTGCTCTTTCCACTTGCATTCTACTTGCCAGACCGTTCTTCCCAACTTTCTACCCCCCCCCTCCCCCTCGTCCTCTTTCTTTTTTTAGATTCCTCCGTCTTCTTCGTACGTTGCGACCCACGTTACTTCCCCATGAGTTACCGTGAGGGTCGTTGCACCTTTCACCGCTTGTTATCACGCGTTTCGATCGAACTCTTTTTCGAGATGAAATCATTCTGCGCTCGTATGGGAAATCGATCCTGAGGCGAGAAGAAAGGAAATAAAGATATTCCATGCACACCGCGTGTATCTCGTCGACGCACCTCTTATTAACCACCCTCGCCACTCGTTTCGAAAGAACAAGAACCTCAGTGTATCCGCGGATATTTCTCTCGAGTTCCTCGATGCATACACGCCATCGTACCACCTCGTTACCGTTTTTACTATACCTTCACCCTACTTTCCTTCCTCGTGCTAGGCCCCCCCCCC